TTACGCGTCTACATTTTGCAACCTCGCAGCAGGGTTGCATTATGGCAATACTAATCGCATTTTTTTTATTTATTGGGCACGTTTTCTGTATTTGCATTTAATTTGAGCGCAATTTCTGATGAAAAGAAACAAATCAATGCAAAGAAATAACAAATATTAGGAATTGGTAATTAAGTTAAATAAATACAATTTTTCAGAAACAAAATCGAAAGGCGACATATAAAAAAGCACGCAAAGAATGGATTAAGGGAAACCTACATACCAAATTTCGTTGAGATATCTCAATTTTTGCTCGAGTTATCGTGTACACGGACAGACGGACAGACGGACAGACGGACAGACGGACAGACGGACGGACAGACAGACATGGCTTAATCGATTTCTTTTTTCATCCTGATCATTTATGTATACATTTGTCTATATCTATCTCGATTCGTTTCGGCTGTTACAAACAACCGTTATGTGAACAAAATTAATATACCCTTGTGCACAAGTGCGCTCGGGTATAAAAAAGTGGCAACAACAAATGGTAAGGCCATAGAAAATGTAGGCAAAGCGTTCCAATGAAGCGCTTGACTGCATAGCGAAAGGAAATCAAAACACAAACATACAATTTGTGCAAAAGCAATACTTTAGCAACAACTAGCAATAGCAATAAACAAAAAAAAAACAAATCACAGAAAGCTCCTCAGCTGTTTAGTTGCAACAAAATATTTGTAGCTAACTATTTACGTGCCAATAAACCCCATAAAATGCGCAGAATTTCAACCAAAAGACTCAACGTACTCTCCGCTGCAACAACAGCAAGTGGTTAGAACAGAATATGTGCATAGCTTGTGGCAAGTATGGAAGTGGTTGCTGAAGTGGATGTACATACATATGTATGTTTGTACATATATCGGCGTATAAGTGCATACTAAGTATATATGTACAGATATGCGACAGTGCCTATTTTGGCCGGCAGCTCTATCGATCGACTCCGTGCATCACTGTTGCGCTTGCGTACGCATATTGCTAGCTTTTCTTTGTTCTTGTTGTTGCCACTGTTGGATATGTATTGTTTCGCACTGGCCTTCCTGTATATATATATATATTTTTTGTGCTAGTTTTCTAGCGTTCCGTTTTTGCGGTATGAGACCTTATAAGGCATTCAAACACGGCCTTCTTTTGAGTTCCGCTATTGTAATTCCTTTTAAACTACCTTATGTATGTATCTTCGTACGTATGATGTGTGTTTATAAATACAAGTCTAATAATTTTTGTAAAATTTGGACAATTTGGATAATTTGTAATCATTTGGATTATTAACTATGATTCCTGGAATCGCTCACACACTGTTGTGGTATCCTCTTTTAGCGCTGGCAAACAATGTGCGATTGTGCTACATATACTTCCGATTGCATATCTCTTACTTTTAATTTGAACTAATAACGATAATTTAGTAATGCCGGAAGCATAAAATAGAGGTAAAAATTTGCCCGGCATTTTAAAAATATTTTTCCGCATATCGGTGAAGGCGACACCTAATCTAGTTCAGTTAATTGTGCGCAATTCGGTGCGCCATCTAGCGGCTACTAGTTCAGAATCAATTTTAATTCCGTATAACCAAACCGCAGCTGTCAACTGACCGGTGCTGATAGCGCCACCTTCAGTTGCAAAAGCAAAATTGCTAGCTGTCAAAAAGTTGCTGCCAAAGTGGCGCTCTCACATTTGTTTCTCTTTTCCAATCAGTCCATTTAAAACTGATTTGCTGGGTGGGTGAGTTTGCCACCTTCTGCGGACTGACATTTATTATTTTATATAAAACACAAATTCTAGTGCAGAAATGAAGCTGTAAAATTATAAAAAAACAGCAAAATTTTAGTCCATAAAGTCTGAAAAAAACCAGGTCACAAAAAGGTGGAAAGCTCAAAATTACTGGAGCAATTTGCGAGTGAAAAAACAAAAACAAGATAATCTTATTGGATTGCAGTGCATGCCAAACGAGAAAAATTTGCAGAATTGTTTGCTTGCGTCCATTTGCTGTGTCGACTCCAGGCTCGCGCTTAGTTAAAGCTAAAATAACTTATCTATTTTAATACAAATATCTTGTAATAAAGTGCTCATCAAATACTATAAAACTGAAGCCATACTCCATTGCGTTATTGTACTCGAAAATCTAATACGCCTAACTGGTACGTGGCAGTGGTGGAGCTGGTGGTGATCGGTGACTAGCCGGCCTTGCATGGCAACGTCACTTTAAGAAGGTAAACAATGTTTTTTTTTCTATAATTTAACGTTTTTCTAATCGTACACTTTTATTTGCATCAATTAAATAAGTATGTATATAAAATTAAGAAATGCCGTTTGTTGCGCTGTGCTAGAGGGCTAATTGTAAGCTGGCCAGCTAAATTCGACGCTCTCATAAACAGTGACTCATTTTAAAAAAATTATCGACACATTCGCTGTTCTACTTAAAAGCAATCCAAAATACACTAAAACGCTTCAAACGGTGAATATCCCAGTAGCTAATTTCAGGAACTATGAACTGAGCCCGGAGTGCCAAAAAATTAAAGGCCTCCAAAACAGCGCTTATTATTATAGGACTTAGTTCGGTAGGCCTTCTAGAGAAGGGTCTTTTAATGCTGCTTTTTTAATTCAAACAAATATTTGGGGCATATTCGCAGTCGAAATTAAGTCGATTCTAAAGTTAGTTGTACCTTTTTCTACAGTTTTGAGTATAAATACCTCCCGATCTTTTATAGGTTCATATCAAAAATGTCTTAATATACATACTGAAATTCAGTTGCAATGCTGAATAATAATATTATAAATAATATTATATTATAATCTTCTACATAAATTGTAAATCGGAAAACCCCTTCTGGTAGGCTTACAGGGATCCCTTTCTCAGCCTTTCTTGGGTAAGCCTTCAAGTATGGCCCCACTTAAAAAGACCGCCTAATTATCTTCGGCGATGTACCTATTGCAAAGTAATTTATATCAGACATATGGAAATGTTGAATAATTTCTCAAATCCGCGGATGTATGTAAATAGGTTTTAAGATAAATATGTTCAGACATACATATGTATGTACATATGAAAACAAATAGCAATGGCAATACATGTTTATCGCAAGTATCACCAATCACGTTTGTTGGTGATTGATAAGAAATGACGCCACTGCCCTTGTTGAGTAATTGAAAAAATATGTGTTTAGCTGGAGGTTTGCAGAACACGCCATGACAAGGTCTTTGTTTTCATTTGAACTGACTTCATCATAATATAAGTGATAAGCCCGGGAACGATAAGCCAGCGAGTGCAGCTAAAATGCCAGTATCCACTCTCGATTTCAAAACAAATTAATATTTTTTCAGCATAGCAGTTAATCGGTATGGCTAGGAACCTAAAATGCCGTTAAATATCAAGATTTTTATTTCAAGATCATTGCAAAATCGGTATTTCCCCATGTTTGATAAAGAACATTCGTTAAATTTACATTATTTTTTCGATCAAACCTAATGATTACATACTATGCGATTGCTATTTTTTTCAATCAAAAATAATTGTTAAATTTGGATTTCTATTTCTTCGATTATTTTGACCATTTTTATTGGAGACTGAGTCCTTACTAAATTTGTTATGATCTACAAAATTATATTAAAAAAAAAACGGCAATAAAATGACCGAAACAATAAAATTCAATATATATGGTTAAATTATGAATTTTATTACACAGATTTTAACCGTTACGGCCAACGTACCTTTTGCACTAATTTTGAATGCAGAAGAGCTGTTGATTATTTCTTTAAATTTATTATGCTTATGCAAAATAGTGTTAACGATTTCTTTTTTCGCTGTTGCAGATAATAGCATACATTTTTTCGCATAATACGTTTTAACTTTTCTGTAAAACTACTAATTTTTATGCTGTATTGAGTGATCTTACAATCGAAAAAATGAATGAATTAAGTACTTTGTAAAGTATCAGTATATTCCTTTTGTAAAATATGTATGCATGCTTATTTATACACAAAATTGAAAAATATAAATCTTTTGCTTAATAAATACATATTGTTACCTAAAATAGAAAGGCCCTATCTCACATCATTGCTGAAATGCAAACAAAGCGTTGCTAACTAAAAATTTGTATGGTATAAAACGATCTGGGGACTTATAATTCAATGAAATGCATCATACTTATTAGTTGCTTCACTTTTCTCCGACACTATTTTTTGTATTAAATTCCAATTCAAAACTGCGTGAAAATTTTTCAAATTTCATCGCTCTAAAAATTTGCGCAATCTTGCTGCTCAGTGAAGTTTAACTTCAAATGCTCATCAGTTTTCTTGTTGCTGAGTTATTGCAAAATAATTTAAACAAAAAGTTAATCAAAATCAAAGAATTTGAAAAACCGCAAAAGCATTACTATACACCAACTATATGTATGTAAGTATGTATGTGCATTCAATATATGGATTCATTGGGTCGCTTATAAGCTGTTGTTGGCCACTTCGACACGCATGACCGCCACAATAGTCTTGTCTAGGCCGGCGCTATTTGGGAGTGGTTTGCGGCGCCTAGGTTTGGTTGTTCAGTGCAAAAATGTACATACATACATACATATGTCCATTATTTAATTGAAGTTAACATTTTTGCATAAATATAGCGTGTTGCCATTTCATTAAAAGCATTGCGTGTGCAGCTACTCATAGCACAAATTAAACTTCCAATGAGTGTGGGTGGTGGGGAAATATGTAGCCATCATGTGTATGTGCATGAAGTGCGCTAAAGTATACTCTTAAATACATACACTACATAAGCATTCTCCAACGAGGTGTGCTATGACATGTGGCCATAAATTCTATTTATTTAATGTATCTTAAACATGCCAATCTCTTTGGTCTGCCACATTCGATAGCTTTTTTGTGTTGCGTCGGTTTATTGGCCTGCTTATGGGCCAATCGATGCAATTTTATATTTTTTTTTGCTTCTGCTCTTTGTACGCTGAATACTAGCAGTGATAAATTGTTAGTGCTTTGTCGCAGTCAGTGGTCCCATGGCGTCTGTTTGAGTTTTTTTTATCTGCTGCAAGGTAAGCTCTCACGCCATGACTCACCAGCAAATGTGTAAACTGATACTGGATATCTTTTATTTAGTAAAAATAATGATGCTATATTAATGTTTAAGTAACCATTTTCATACTAAAAATTTCTATTAATTGACTATGGAGTAGATCGTTTGAAATGTCTTTACTACAGGATAACTTTTTCATTTATCTTTGCTTTATATCGTTTACGCATTTTATTGCTCATTTACTAAAATATACTTGGATTTTTCGACTTCTCGATTTTCTTTTGGTGGTTTATTTTATAATTCGGCGTCTGGAAATCTTTCCTTTTTTGTTTTGCTTATTGTTGGTTTCCTTTGCATACAAATTAAGCCACTGGGTCACCAAGTAACGTGGCTTCTTTTGTTATGGCTCCATGCGGCACGCAATTTCGTGTATTTCGTTTACCAAAAACTGGTACGTTTATACATACATAAGTATTTATGTACATTTTTAGGTATGTAAATATGTATGTATGTATGCCTCGCTATTATCCAATGTTGTATATAACTATATAGTTCGTAATTTGAATGTTTAAGTAAGTTTCAAGGCTAATTGCAAGTAAATTTGCTTTTTCATTCAGATTGTTACAACACTAACACCATTTTCAAATATATTTTGAGGTGGGCCAGGCTTGGGAAAATATACCTATGTTTAAGTAGGTACATACGTTTTACGTTTTTTGTAGAATCATAAATTATAAAAAATCAGTATGTATTTGGCGCTAACAGATTTTTCTAAGTAGCGAGCTTATCATTCAGTTTGTCTGGTGCGTCTTAAAATTTTCATAACAATCCCACAAAGAGTTTTTGGGCAGTGACAGCCCTTTGCCAGACATAAATCGGGGTCATTCGGGTTAAGTACGGCTGTCATGGAAACGTCGAGGCTTTAATATTGCCCGTCGGACTACGATCGCCTCTTGTTGTTGTTGTTGTTGTTGTAGCAGCGTACAAATTCCCCAAAGACTTTTTGGGGAGTGTTGCTGGAGTGACAGTCCTTGGCCAAATATAAATCTGGGTCGTTCCGGTTACGTAGACCAGACTGTCGACTTCTTCTTTATTAGCGCTGTAACCGCCTAAGCGATTTTGGCCGAGTCCAACGCCAGTCATTTCTCTTCTGTGCTAACTGAGGCATTCCTCCTCTTCTGTTACCAGCACCGCGGCCCGCGTTGAATACTTTCAGAGCAGGAGCGTTTCTATCCATTCGAACGACATGGCTAAGCCAGCAGAGCCGCTGAATTTCAATTCGCTGCACTATGTCTATATCGTTGTAAAGCTCGTACAGCTCATCGTTAAATCGTCTGCGGTATTCGCCATCGCCAACGCGTAAAGGTCCGTAAATCTTTCGCAGAATCTTTCCCTCGAAAACTCCAAGAGCCGCTTCATCAGATCTTTTCATTCTCCATGCCTACGATCGCCTGACCCAATTAAAAACTTGAGGGAACAGATTTTTGAGTTACTACAATTTATCCATTCTATAGAATAAACAACGCTTTGAATGAATGTTCAGGTCAGCGTGGTTTTACAGTTGAGAAGTAAGCAGCATAGCAATTGACTTATTGAATGACCCTGTTAACAAAAAAAAAACCATGAGAATCCACACAAAAACGCTTTTGTAGCACATAGTGCAAACTTTTACCAACAGCCGTTACATTTGCGACTTTTACTTTTTGTTGCAAATGAGAAAAAGAAAATATAAAATACTGAAAAATATTGGCAAATGAAACAAAAAGAAAACAAAAGCTTGCAACTTTTACTTTTGTTGCGGCGAATGCCACTGATTTTGACACATTTTTCTGTTGGAAATGTGTGATTAAGTGCATTTGTGGTTTTGTTGGCAGTTGAAATTTAAAATTTTACTGAAATTTCGCTAGCTATAAAGCAATTAAAATTGGTTGGCACATTTAAATAAATGTACTCGTATGTACATTAGACAGTATCACCTTACAAGCAAACAAAAAAGGTTCGCGCATTCCCCTAAGTTTAACGTATTTTTGCAAGACAATTTCGATATTATTTTTTTTTTTTTCTCGCAATAAATAATTTGTGTAAAGAGTTCTACTGCTATAATAAAAATACTTCCTTAGCAAAAGTTAAATGATTTTTGGCGAGCTTTAATTTACTTACATTATAGAAGATAAATAGTTAGTCTGTTCC